TTWARGKWMYGCTTAAAAACACAAAACCATGACTTAGAAAAATACTTAAACTTCTTCCTTATCCATTATCTGTTATACTTTTGTTGTACTTTCCAATTTTTGCATGTGAACTCCATATTAGTTGAGAGAATTAATATTTTCGGATGAGGAAATGAAATATGAAAGCTTATTTTGTGACCTTCAAGCCTCTAACAAGTTTATCCCCTACACCTGCAGGACTCAGGCACTAGCCCCAGGAGATGGAGCTCAGAATCCAATTCCAGGCTCTAATGACTTCAACAGCTGAAATGTGAAATGAGTAAGAAAAGAGTCCTAATGATAAAAGCAACATCTTAATCTCTATTTACTAATATTTCTGGACTGACACTAGCTTAGAGCTTGCTGGACACAAGCACAGATCAGGGGAAGACTTGATCATCTGAATCTTTTCCTATTATTTTTCTCAGGGCTGTTCATGCRGAGACAGAAAGGAAATCCATACAATCAGGACTTTCAAGTCAAGTTTCTAAAACTCGGGGGGGATTTACTCTAGCCTTGAGCTAAAAACAGACAGTGTTGAAGAAGAGAGTGTTGAAGACTCTTGGTATACTGAAGTGGCAAATTTTATATTAAAATAGTGGTTGTAAAAATACTGCCATAATTTTAATTCAGAGCTGGAGCAACTCGTGTGTSTCTCTCCCACACAGCCACCCACTGTCCAGCTGTCAGAGTGGAACTCGCTCTCTTCTTTCTTCTCCTTGTAGCTTTTTGATCATACACAATTCTCCGGGGCTATCAAGACACCAGAGCATTCCTTTTTTTTCAACTCAAATTTGACTTTTTCCATTAACTAAACACAATTTAAGGGAACAAGTAYATACCTGGTTGCTGGCCAACTGTTAGGGACTGGATTGTATGAGACTTGCCTACATAAATTATCATTTTGATCTATAGGTCATATTTGAAACTCTTCTGCATTTCCCCTCTAGATTTAAGGTTGAATGTTGCCACATTTACTCCCAAGAACAACACAATTCCACCTCAAACCATCTTCAGCCTGAAATATCAAGTGGGGAAAAATACATAATTCCCACGTTTTAGTTTGGGTATAATTTAATACATAGAAACTTTATTCCCTCACGTACCTTTATGACGTTACACTAAGTGCTACAGCAAAAGCATAAATAAATCTCTAGACATCTCCTGGAGAGAACCGTCCATCTTTTCAATGGAACCTCCAACTATGTGATTCCTGGTAATGAATTTGGAATGATACGG